AAAACAAATTCTGAAGAAACAAGACATCTTGAGATGAAAAAATGTGAATCAAAACAAAACGTGAAGTGAACTGTAAATTTTTGATATATTTCAAAGTCAGGATCACTTTGAAACAGAATGGTAATCCAAACCATGCATACACTTATATATTTACAATGCATGAATTAAGTAGCAAAAGTCAAGCAATAGAAATTAAATAGTGTGATATTTACGAAAGCGGAGTTGGAAGAGCTGTCATATTTTAAAAGGATGAATTGAAACAACAGATCAGACTGGTGGAATGAGTGTATTGTAATTTAAGAGAAGAGTTGTAATTCTTTGCTAGTCTTAAGTCCCGTGTTAACAAACTATTTCTTAATATATGTGTATGCATGGCTTGGATTATCATTCTGTCTGTGGATGACTTTGAAATAAATCGAAAATTTACAGTTCACTTCGCATCTTGTTTTGACTCACATTTTTACATCTCAAGATGTCGTGTTTCTTTGGAATTTGTTTTTTACTTAACTCTTAAAGAGAACTCTATAGTCGTATTTATGTCAATGTGGTAGTGTATGTTAGTGCAATCAGACTAAGTTACACAACATATTTGCAATAAAAATGTTCTTTTAATTAATTTTTAAGAAAAAAACGATACATAAGCTTTTTCTATTTCTTATAAAGATAACTAAGTGACAAAAAACCCAAATATTTAAAATTTATTTTCTTGAAAGGTTTATCGTACAGTTGCTGCAATTGTTCAGCCGTTTTTAACTGGTAGGTTTGCTTCCCTACATTGCTTGGCAACATGGCCCATTCTTTTGCAAATGTAGCAATGTCGTCCTATTAAATATTGATAACAAAGTTGTAGTTCATAACACTTTTTATTTGTTTGTGTCATTAGCTTATTTCTGTTAACAATAATGCATGCAACTTGAAGTTTTCAACCATCTAATCAAGCTGATGTTTTATCACTAGGTCAATCAAACTTACTTCTTCTCATACGATTAAACTCTATACAAAAAAAAGTATAGTATATAATTGTCAATTACAATGGTCATGAAGGAAATGTTATTCTTTGTGGTCACAATTTTAGCATCTTCCTTCATTAAAAAAAAACAATGACAATTATCAGCCTGGCATCAAAGGCAATTAGTACATGTATACACTATACCACACCTTTAAATGAATTTTTTCTTTGACATTGCTTTTTACATAAACAAATCGTTTTTAGGTGCTGTTTGATTTGTTATGTATGATTAAATTTCAGGTTAAAAGACTCATGGTGAAAAGATTCAGGTGAAAAGATTTAGCTGAAAAGACACAGGTGAAAAGATAAAAGTATCACGAGAGAGCTGATGAGCATATATCATATATGAATGAGAACAGTATTGTATATAAAGCACTAATTATCTTCTTTATTTTTTTGATTTTCAGCATTGGAGCCACCTCAAATAGTAGTAGATTTTTAGCACATTTTGATGCATTGATGTATTGTGTAACAATGCAAAAAAACAATCATTAAACAGTATAACCATTTTTGGAAAAATACACACTTGCATTTTGGTTATCTTTCTCTTCAGTTCCCTGACCTGTTTTGAATGCAATTGAACTATTTGAGTGATTTTCAGTTTTCAAAACAAAAACAAATTTTATACACATTTGATACCAGTGTCCATTGCTTTTTCCTCGTCTGTATAATCCAGCATCTGGTGTTTTTGTATGAAAAAAAAACGATAAACTGTAAATAGATATTTTGCAATAAGGGATTTAAACCATGTAAATGAATCACTTTTTATTTACTTCCATGCTGAAAGCTTCATATAAAGCTTTTCAGATCAGAAATCATTAAATTATTGATCTGTACTAACCTCTTTTTCATCCATGGACCACAATAGAAAGTTGGCAAATACAATAAAAACAAGAAATAAGCAAAGGAAAATTCAGACAGGTTTTGAAAATATTTATAGTTTTTTCAAAAAAAAAGCAGGAAAAAATGCAAATGACAAACGCCAATGCTGTAATTTGTAAGAGATGATTCCCATGATAATATACATGTAAAAAATATGCTTGGAAATCATTAAGTGAAAGTTTCACTCCAACAACTTCATCATTGCAAGATGTGTGGATGAACCACCACACGTTAAATTTCCAACTTTAACACCAACATCATGTAACTGCATCAAACACTCCTTGGTAAGATTTGCTTTTACTTCTGCAGTGAGGCCATCTACCAAGAAGTAACCAATTGGTACTTTCCAAGATGAATCTAGAGCAACAGCCATGTATACTAAAACTTCTGCTGCTTTAGGGAGTGAGTCATCATCAATCCCAGTACCAAGGTCAACATAACCACAAACTTTTTGACCATCCCAATCTATGTGTTTGCTGATTGACATTTCATCCAGCATCAATGCACATATGACTTCCTGCCATCTTTCTTTGCTTCTTGAACCTTCACTTTCAAAGCATTCAAGGCATCCCTGGTGAAACCAGGGTCACTATCCACAGAATTATACCA